GTAAGTGACAGGACTGGATAACTAGACAATTAACATGGGTTTAAACCTGTGGAACGATCTTAATCTCCAGCTAGGAAAAAAAATTATGATGATGGAATATAGCTAGAATAATACATACCGTATTCTTTGAGACAGTGAAGCACACTTGGATGCGTATTTTAAGCTAAAAATGTGGATGTAGAATAGAATTATATGAGCGGTGCAGCTTTGTTACTCACTGAGCAGCTGTTCGAGCTGTTTCGTTAATCAGGATAATTAAAAGCCCAAAAGACAAATTGTGAATGAACATTGATTGATGGTGTAAAGATTCGCTAAAACTTCAGGATTTTCCTCAAAATCGTTTTATTTTCAAAAATTACTTCATTTTTAGACTGCCTACATAGTTAAATTGAGCTACATCAGTTGGACACAAAACTCCAAACAAACTAGGAATGTCATATGGTTTTGTTTTAATAAACAACTCAGTTAAGGTGGCGAAGCGGCGCCTACAGCAGCACGCTGACGTAATATTCTTCGTCAGCGTCTGTCCCTTGCTGCGGAATTCCGCGTACGGCGCGAGTCTGCAGCGCCGGCGTTCCGGGAAATGCTGACGCCACTATCTGGATACACTGTTCTCACACCGACGATCCCTGGAATCGCAGACGAAAGTGACTTGTCTTGACAAAGAACGGTAGCCTATTCTGACTTCCAGCGTCAGCGAACTATGCAGCACAATTGAGATGGTTTCAGGGCTGATAAATTGTATGTGAGCGGGGTATTTTGTCGCTTAGAATTGTGCTTTTATGGTTTTATGAAAGAAATGTTAAATTTTTAAAAGCATTATGTGAATATACGATGGGATATACCGGAACCGCTTACAGTTTAGCAGTGCCGCATTCAAGCGTACACAAACATTTGCTTTTATTTATTTTAAATTATATAGTGAGTGGTGATAGTTACGAGAAATCAAAGATCTCTAGAAGTTATGTTGACAATTAATAGGTACGGTACCGTATTTGACCATTTTAATTGCATCCTCTTCTCGTTTGCTATTAGGGTCTAATACCTACTTTAAATTACCTCTAGACTACAATTACCTCAAATTTATATCAACATCAAATACTGCACAATGTAGTATGAAATTTTTTTACAAAACTGAAAAAGATTAGGCTACTCTAATAAATTCAAAGGTGGACTATACATTCACCACATTGTAGCAACTTTTAAGTCGATGAAAAATACTAAATGAGAGAAAGCTGAATTTTACACTAAATAAGTTTTTCGCCAATAATTTCTAATTTTAATAACCTTAATATTTTTGTTAAATACTGTCATGTCATGCACGTTGTATTTAACACAAAGTTATAGAAACACCCGACGATTCGAATTAGTTTAAGTACACAAGAATCAGCATCTTAAAGACTTATGCAAACCTAACCTAATGCAAAGTAAAAAACGGCCACGTAAATAAACAATTTTGGAAATCTTGAAAAAATAACTAATATAGGCTACATAATGTACCTAATAATTACCCTCTAGATACTCTTTGAAAAAATTTAGTTAAGACTGCTGCCACTATACAGTGAAAGCATAAAACATGGTTAGTCTATGGTAAAAGTTTAAAATGCATCGTTAAAGATTTACGTTGAGGCCAAATGAGAAGACGTGCCGTGTGGGTTATGAGACAAAAGCCACTCCCTAGGGACAATCGACTTGTTAGTATTCCACTTCCACAGTTGACAATTCCCACTCCACCTCGCCACGGGAATGTGTGACGCCCAAAACGACTCTTGGCCCTAGAGAACCAGGCTGTTTGTGAATTCAAAAATACCCCCGCTGCAGCAAAACCTGCAGACTAAGCGAATATCCATTTACCTGGCTGGATTTCTACCAAAAAACCCCCTTAAAATTGTCAGATTTATTTCCTACTTGAATAACATAATTTTTATTAGTATAGGTTTGCAGCTACAGGGAAGGTATTGAGGTGTTTATTTTAATTGAAATGTTGATAGCTTAGAATGAAATAAACAAAATTGCTAAGTATGGTCAAAATATATCCATAAACAAGCATACAAAAAAGTTTATTTATTCTCCAAAGAATAACATGAGAATTTTAAATTTAAAGTTGTTTTTATTAATCTCCATAACCGTTAGGCATACAACAACGTTTCATTATACAAAATTATTTATTTTTTAAGCTGTAAAAAACGGTCTGAAAAGAAATTGTAAAATGTTATGTTTTAATTTTTAAAAAATTTTTAAATCTTTAAAAATTTTATGTTAAAATTTTAAAAATGGGAAAAACTAACTTTTACCCCATAAACCTCCGTTCCCATAGTCCGATCACGCTGGTTCACTAACTTGTACAAATAATTATAGGACATTTGTACTAAATTTCATCAAAATCGCATAGTTTTTCTCAAGTCAAACAATTTTTTTATCGCGCTAGCGGACACACACACACACATACGGTATTTGAATTTGAACGTAGGGTGTTTCTGGCCTCTGGGGACCTCAGTAAAAAGTATATCCGTCCTGGGTCTAGGTCCTACCATGAAATCTACAGTACGGTACCTAATAGATTATTCCTAATATGGGAAATTCGCTAATATAGAATTTCAAAACCAGTTAGGTAAATTTGGAATTTTTATTGTCTAACCGCAAGGTAATGTATTTGTATAGGTGAGTTCAACCACCTACCTAGCCATATCAAGTCAACATAGTTAATGACCTGTCGAACACCACTCATCTTTTATGATGAACTGATAACTCTGGAAAGGACCAAACATTTGGTGATATTTTCTGATAGTCACTTATCCAAGTTCATTAACACTATTGACTGGTATGTATGTAGCCTATGTAAACATATTTGCACTGGCTACTCTTGAATATTTTCTGCAGGCGGATCAACCTCTTCCTCAATTTAATTTGCACAAACCATCAATTTAGATAAAAAAAAAACATTAGGGCCTACTACTTATTATAATATTTAGAAGATCAAGATCTTGCGTTAAGAAGTTAAGTGAAGGGTTTGTTTAGCCATTAATGCTTCAATAGCAACCTAATTATGCCTATGTTGTCCTTTCATCTAAGTATACAATGGTAACAAAAGAAATTGAAAAGATGACAATTTCTTGTTAGGAAACTTAAACTCATTGAAAGATGTTACCGGATACTTATGTGTTCCCCTTAAACTTTGCCCTTAGGGGGAAGTTGGAAACCAATTTTCATCCTATATCACTCTGTAACTGTTGTCTGATCACGTGTCATTGAAATCACTCAAATAAGGATAGGCTAAGTTAATTTGATTCTCCTTGAGGAGAAGAACCAATATAGGTACGGTAGGCCTAGTATGGTAGCCTAATCAATATTTACTCTACAAATCATTTAGACTGTATCCAGGGAGTAAAATCTAGCTTCTTGTGGGCGGTTGCATGGACATTCAGAAAGTAAAGACATCTAGCCCAAAATATCTTGGTCTCACAGTGGATGAAAACTTTAGCTGGAAGCCCCACACATTCTTAAGAAGCGGTCTTGCCTAAGGACATTTTACTTGTTAAAGTTTCTCTGTCCTAGATCTAGGATTCTGAAAACTCCCATTTTTTTTTATTTAAATACATTGTTACCCCCTGAGCTGTAGGGCCTATATATTAATATACTAGATGGTGAATGTCAGCCAGAACATGTTTCGAACATTGTGTATCATCGGCTGAGCACTTTTACTATGGTAAAATGGCTTCGTTTTTTAGTTCAATAAATTAATATCTGAAACACATTAACGAGACGTACGGTAGACATTTAAAACACGTAGGCTATAGAGACATGCAGATTTGCATGAACATACAGTCGCGCCACAAGTTGGGGATAGATTCTAGAACGGGTCGGGGGGACTGGTCCCGGGTCCAGGTCTTACCATGAGTGAGACCTATAGGCCTAGCCTGAGACAATAAATCTATACAAATAATCTTTTGCATTTTTGACCATCGGGTAACTTTACTTAGGCTAATAGCTTATATAATTCCCTAATGGGATAACTGTTGAACCTTTTCACTAAAAACAACAATTAATTATTGCTGGCCGTTGGAAAACAAAATGAAGCTTGTTGTAGGTACTATAAGCGAACCGAACTAGTGCTATTGGGAAATACAAATTTTAAAATAGCCTAATTAATTGGTCCTGTGTTTAGGTCTTACCACCTACAGGTAGGGCCTACAGAAGGCTAAGTTTAATGGGCTGCACTTTACTTTACGTCCTACACTCATTTGAATGAAAATATCGATCGATATATCGATTATTCTATAAGTTATATCATTTGGTTAGTTAGGTAAGCTTAACGTAACCTAAGTAACTAACCAAACGATATATCGAATGAAAGAATTGAATAATCGATATTTTTATTCAAATGAGTGTAGGACGTAAAGTAAAGTGCAGCCGTTTAATGAGTTAAAGCTTCTTCTCTAACTTATAAGATTAATAGGTTACAGGAGAAAAAAAAATTTAAAAAAACGCCTAAGTTATAAAACTTTGTGTTATTGCTGTGTTTCAAATTTTTCAAATGTAATATAACTAACCTCAAACTCAAATAGTGGGCTACTGGGTTAAACCATTGTTAAACTTTAACTTCATGCCACTGGGTTTAATCCAAGCTGTATTAAAACTATTTAAAAAATTAAGTTTTCTGTTGTTTGACCAGATAAGAATCTCTAGGTAGGTACAACCAATTAGGTTTATACTTATAAATTATGTATAATAACATAACATTATTTGAAAACCTTTGAAATAATGTCATCGAACACCTGGACATATCAACAGAGGGCGCTGAAATCTCCGCGCCTGCTCTGTAGCGGCCATCTTACAGTGGAATCCAATCCCAGGCTAGTTAACCTTCAAAAGTTTTCTCTTCTACCTGTTTGAAAAATACGTTACCGAAGCTAATTTTCCCTTAAAAAATAATGTTTAAAAACTAGTAAATTAAATTAAAAACAATACAAACAATGTTAAGGGTTGTTATGAAAGTTTACCTGTTGTTATAAATCCTCTCAAACAGGTAGCCGTAGGCAAGGTGAATAAAAACACAATGTCGCACTAAACACTTCACAAAACTTTATAAACTTCATTCTTCGGTTTAAAACCATACATTATTGCACTTCATTATGACTACGATGATAAATACAATCACTTTGTACCACTACAGTAACTTTTTAAGTCACGAACATCACTTTTAAATTCGAAAACGCGTAAATTAGAATCCACGACAACAACCGCGTACGCACAACACAACTCAACAAAACCACTAAACAAAATCTAGTTTTCGAAGCGGCGCATGCGCAGACAGCGAAACCATGGATGGATAACTGCCAGCGCGTTCTGTCGATGAATACATTGAACTGCGTGAATCAAAACACACTCTGCCGGAGAATGAAACAACTACATTTATTTGAAGAAAATGATTGTGTAGCTGTCACCTTACATTCTCCCGAGTATATCCTAAGTTTAATGTATGCTATCAAGAATGTTAGAACAGAGACAGTTATGGATCATAAACATAAACGATTGACGCAACCATAGATAAAACCATTAAACATACATATGTTAATAAACCTATGTTAATCCCCACCCACTTTGTTTACAAATAATTTATTCAATTTTATTATTGTAAAAAATAATTATGTAGTTTTTACAATATTTATTTATTCATTGATCTATTTAAAATAATTTAAACTAATTCAAATAAAAAGAATATTGTGCTTTTTTTGCTTTATTCATAGTTAAAATAATAATAAACAGGGTGGAAAAAAGTCCCGGGATGGCTAAATACTTTAAAAAGTATAACAATTTAAGATACCCCCGCCGCAGCAAACCTGCCGACTAAGCGAATTTCCATTTGTCTGAATTGATTTTCAGTTAAATATATTTTAATAACATTAGGTTTAACGAGTACCTAGGTTTGCTGCTACAAGGAAACTAATAAAGTGTGTTTTTGAGTAAAATATTGATAGCTTAGTACAAAATAAATAAATTTGCCAAGTTTGATCAAAATATATCCAAAAACAAGCAAACTACAACATTTGACAATATTCTCCATAAGAATAACATGGGAATTTTAAATTTACAATTTCTTTAATTTTCTCCGTTACCAATAATCGAACAAAAATACTTTTATATACTAAATTATTTGTTTTTTAAGCTCTTTAAAAAGGTCTAAAGAGAAATCGGAAAATTTTGTGTTTTGAGGGTCAAAAGTGAGAAAAACCAATTTTTACAACATAAAACCCCCCGTAAAGCCCCGTTCTCATGGTCCGATCGTGCTGGTTCGCGAACTCATTCAAGTTTATCCCGCTTTACACCTTTAAACCAAATTTCATCAAAATCGGACAAAAATTACTCAAGTTATCGCGTTCACGGACGTATATATATATATATGTCTATATATATATATATATATACATATATAAAAATTTGAACGAATGGTGTTTTTGGCCTCTGGGGACATCAAAATGAAAAAGTAAATCGGTCCCGGGTCTAGGTCTTACCGTGCCACCAATAGCTACTTCCCTATAGGGAAATTCGCTAATAGAGCTTCAAAACTTCAAAACCTCTTGGAACGAACAACATACATGGTTCCCATCCTCTCCAATCTCATATTCATCAGATTTCGGACACCTTTAATCACTCACTTGTCATAGACAATATTTATTCTATTTGTCTATGCTTGTATCAAACAGCTAGAAATAGCTTCACAGTCCATTCACCGCACCTCTTAAGAATATAAAAGTAAATAATAAAATAAGTACCGGTAAACTAAAATGTAAACAAACAAACTATATTGTCAATTGCATTGGCCTGCTGTTGTTCACTAAATTATTCAAATAACATTACCTTCAAAAACATGCAAGGCGTACCTAGCCCTTTTGAAATCAGCCTGTGGGGCAGAGCACTTAGCGAGTCGTCCATATCAATACTTTTCGGCAAATCTACACACTCTAAGCTTCATTTTGATATGTCATATGCCTATATTTTTATTTGGTAAATGGCCTTAACAGTTTACATAAAATTTGATTGTATCACTTTAATAATATAGACTAGAGGTCGTCCAGTGGTCGTAACTCGACCAAAAATATTTAATGTACAGACTTCTTTATTTTCATTCCACACTTTGAATAGAACATGTGATTGGAGTTTCTTCCATTTGTTTTGATTTTCTGTTTATATTTCGTTGTTATTTCATCACCAGCATGGCAACTCATAATATCCATGTTAAATTTTTCAAAATTTTAAATTCATTTATTGTGCTTATTTTTGAGCCTATTTTAATTTATAAAGGGATTCTGCACACCTACAGGAAAATAGCTTTCTAACAGTATGCGTAGATTTTCCCTACGATGCACACGAGCTGAGAAAAAAGGTTTTAAAGAAACATGCTTGCCTATTATTATATAGATAGACTAGCTGTACCCGCGGGCTTTGCCCCGCTTAACTTCATAAGTATTCGCATGGTTCAATCACGTCCTGGTTGAAGTTCGTTCGCTACGCTCACTCACCTTCAAGTTGGAAATCGTTCGCTGCGCTCACTTGTTTTCAGGTTAGCTCGTTCGCTACGCTTACTCGCCTCCAGGTTGATGTTCGTTCGCTACGCTCACTCACCTTTTGGTTGCAAATTATCTGTTGTCATACATTTAAAAAAGTCATCCCTTTTATTGTTTATAATACAGTACTTTTATAAAGGTTTTTATGTTTTAATATTTAACATTGGAGAATTTAAAATTGGTTAAGTGCACAGGTGTGCTGCGATTGTGGTTTAATACATTTGGACTTATTCAAAAGTAAAATAGTTTTCTGTGCTGCAATCTGAAGAAACACTGTGGCACTATTTCAAATCATGACTAATGCTAATACAGAATGTTGTAGTTATTCAAACGTACAAAACAGTTGGTGAAAGTAAACATCTGCTTTTAAATTATATTTATTTGTAAACATTCTAGATCAAAAAGTCTGACATTGGCCCACTTAAAACCCTCTGGGGCAGAGCCCTTTTGACGGATCTGCACCAAACTTCACTCGAACCATCCTTGAAAGATGCTTAATAATGCCTGAAAGTTTCATTACAATCTGTCGAGCGGTTTCGGAGTCCATAACGTATATACACATATATATACATACATACATAGTTCCTCTTTTATAGATATAGATATTAATATGACTCTGATTTGGATTCACAACTTAGCTTATTCAAAGTAAAGTAATTTCCAAGGACTGTGTGGAATGTAGTATTTGCCACTCAAGATACTAGGTGTGGCAGGTACGTCCTCAAGAGCGCCGAGAAATAAAGTTATACAGTTCAATGCGATACGCATATGCTCATGGGTAAAGCTAGAGATTATTTGTTGGGAGGGGGGAGGATTTTTGAATTTTCTGTTGCAAACTAACCGGGGGTATGGAATAGAACATCACAACAGCAGGGACAACGTGTTTCGTTTAACAGATTGTTCAGGATGTGGCAGAACATTCATTCAACATGATATCATTCAAATTACATCATTCACTTATTCTCAGGCCCAAGAGGTATTTGCGTTCCCAACCCAACAAACCTAAAACTTCTTGGGTCCTGGTCCAACAGGAGAACAGGACCATTTACTAAAGAGGCCATGCTTAGTCTTCTTTGCATTGCATTGAAACTGCATTCAATTGTTTTGCTTCAACTCGATTGTTTGCAAAGCTTAAACTTTGCACAATGTGTTCAAGTTGCTTATTCCAATTTTAACTTCAGTATCGGTAGCTTAAGTTACTCCAAACAGTAGTCATGGACAATGAAAATCGCTCTAAATGTCATTGATGGAATTTATATGTGTCCGGCACTCCAAGGTCAACAAATAATATTAATCGATTACTCAGGGATTCATTTATACTGACAAAGTAGATAAAACAAACTATTTGGAGGTACTGTAAAACAAAAGCTTTATGTGGTGATTTTGGAAAAAATTACCTGTTGGCTGTTGATTCGCATGATTAATGTGCAACATGAAAGCAATGTTAGAACAGCTGCTAATTTTGACTCGGTTGTCAGTTTGAGTTGAAATTTTTTGCATTGTATTCTACTATTAAAGGCCTTTAATTTCATGTGCATATCTATATCTATAAAAGAGGAACTATGTATGTATGTATATATATGTGTATATACGTTATGGACTCCGAAACCGCTCGACAGATTGTAATGAAACTTTCAGGCATTATTAAGCATCTTTCAAGGATGGTTCGAGTGAAGTTTGGTGCAGATCCGTCAAAAGGGCTCTGCCCCAGAGGGTTTTAAGTGGGCCAATGTCAGACTTTTTGATCTAGAATGTTTACAAATAAATATAATTTAAAAGCAGATGTTTACTTTCACCAACTGTTTTGTACGTTTGAATAACTACAACATTCTGTATTAGCATTAGTCATGATTTGAAATAGTGCCACAGTGTTTCTTCAGATTGCAGCACAGAAAACTATTTTACTTTTGAATAAGTCCAAATGTATTAAACCACAATCGCAGCACACCTGTGCACTTAACCAATTTTAAATTCTCCAATGTTAAATATTAAAACATAAAAACCTTTATAAAAGTACTGTATTATAAACAATAAAAGGGATGACTTTTTTAAATGTATGACAACAGCTAATTTGCAACCAAAAGGTGAGTGAGCGTAGCGAACGAACATCAACCTGGAGGCGAGTAAGCGTAGCGAACGAGCTAACCTGAAAACGAGTGAGCGCAGCGAACGATTTCCAACTTGAAGGTGAGTGAGCGTAGCGAACGAACTTCAACCAGGACGTGATTGAACCATGCGAATACTTATGAAGTTAAGCGGGGCAAAGCCCGCGGGTACAGCTAGTTATTCATATTTATTTGATTTATACCCATATATGAGTGGAGGTTGAGGTGTGTATGATGAAGTGTGATGCCTTGTGTAGCTTTTTTTCTGACTGAGACCCTTAAGTACTAACCCAATTGCTTTTGAAAACACAATCTTTTCAGGCTTTATGGTACGATATTAAACATATTGAAACCTCCATACTTTAGATGATTTAACCCTCTTCAAAATGCCACCCTAACTTTGATTCTACGTTAAGTGTATCACTTTTTAAAATCATACTCTATTAGCAGATATTTTGTGCATCTACAACATTTTTTTCAATAAATATTTGCAATTTTACCTAGGCTATTTTGTATGTACGTGTAGGCTGAAAGATTTTTAAATGGTTATTGCAACCTTTATACTGCCCATAAGTATGTTTAAAAGGGGTTTATCTCAAAACTATTTATAGGGTGGACTTTTTCCCCATCCCCACAATTGGATACCTCATACCTGATTCATTTGATAAAAAAAAAACTTTAAATGATTTGGCTCTTACTAAAAAGCCAAATCAAGCCATGTAATCTAAGTTAGCTTTATATGTGTTGGAGAGCTACTCAATAACCCAACAATTATTGGTCTAGAAGGCAAGCGTCCACTGGATGAATTGCACCACAGTCATATAATTTGCTAGCAGGCTTGACCATTAGGATTTTACAGGTCAATATTAATAGTAAGTCAGGTTAAAAGAGAGATCAAATAATTACAAAAATTACAAACAGTTTAATACAAATATATGTTCTATGTACAAGGATATGGTATACATAAACAGTTCTAGATAGCAATCCATAGGAAGCGACATAACATTACAATAATACATACTTTAACAGTAGTTTAAGTTCTATCACAATTTAATAAAATCTGCAGAATACAATACAATCTGCAGTAATAATTTGTGAATATCTCTTCTAAATAAAGAATCACAAAAATAGTTACCTCTTACAAAAAGGTATACCACATATTTTTAAAACACCTTAAAATGAAGGAATATTTTTTTTTAATTTTGTAATCAAACTTCTAAATAATAAAACAGAGATTTCTGTACAATAAATCAAATACAAAACAAAATCAAGGCAGTGTGCCGGTTGAGATACTTTTTTGCTATTTGAGAAATTAAAAATATTTTTTAATCCTTAGATACTATTTACTTATCCGCAGATTACTAACATTAAATTAAAATAACAAGTTATAACTATAATTTAATTACCAACCCGAGTTTTAAGCAGAGTAGGTATCTTAAAATGATGTACTAACTACTCTATCATAGACTAACCTACCACAAGTAGACGTCTCATCCCATTGTAAATTGAAGCTCATTTGGTACTTTTGTATTACACAGAGGCACTTATTTTAGAAGGATTTTTTTACTGGAGACTAAAAATAACTACATAATTGAAAAGAATACACTTTAATTGACTTACTGTCCAAATTTGACATGATTACAATTAGTGGCCTTTGAGTTATGCCCCCAGAAGCAGGACCGATTTACCAAATAGGCTTGTCAGGCACGTGCCTAGGGCGCGAGGCAATTGGCTTCTTTTGGGGCTCTCCAAAAATTAGGGGAATAGATTGGTGTTTGTATTTGCATGATCGCGGTAAACTTCTAATAATCTATCGCGACCGTGTAGACATCGTAACCGACTCCCGTGATTGAGGCAAAATTCTAACTATTTCCCCGCGGTCGTCTGGACATTATCAATTATCAATTATTTAAGATGGGGACGCCACTATGTGCATATTTTAACCCAAATATGAGTGAAGGATGAGGGTAGGGTAGGATGAGTGGCGCGATCTTGTAGCCTTGTTAGGGACTAAGGCCGACATGTTCCTTAGACACAGCTGTTAATTAATAGCCCATACAGCTAATGACAAGCTAATTAATAGGCTATCGTCTCATATTGTCGTCTCCCACGGTCACAGAAACGTCACTTTTGTCATTTGCGATGGCGGTAAATTGAAAATACCAGGTGGATATACAAAATTTAGGCATGATTCCCGGGTTTGCCGGTTTTCCCGGTCGGTGGACACCCTGTATATGTATTGCAAAGGGGCACAACTATTAGTTGTGCTTAGGGCGCTGACATGGTTAAAAACGGGCCTGCCCAGAAGGCAGCAATGTCGGCAAGGATTGAGTTGAATGTGTTGCCGCCGCTAGCAGCCACATGTACTCCGCCAAGTAGGTATACAGCGCGCTGCGGCGGTTATGTTAGGTTGGGTTATCATAAATATGTTTGTAGGACTTTCCTCGTTTGTGTTATGAATCAAACGATACCAGATGAGTCATCACTCAGGACCCTGGAAGAGATACAGGCGGTGTGACAGGTGATGCGCGCACTCCGGTCAAAGATTTGACCTTCGCCTACTCGGAGGGGATTTGGCGAGCGAAAGTATGACTCATCTGGTATCGTTCAATTCATAACAAAACGAGGAAAGTCCTACAAACATATTGTTATGATAACCTTAACTAACATAACCGCCATAGTGCGCTGTATAAGGGTGGCCTCCGTATAATAAGAAAGTACCGCTCGTTTTTCAAGTCTAGTTCATGTCCGGTGACACTGGGCGTTAGTGACAACAACATTGTTTTCTATTATTTTACGGTTAATTTCATGTTTTCTGCATTAATGTTTGGTTATATAACTAGGGTACAAGTTATTTTTTATGATTATATCACATAACTTTATTTGATAAAACAAGGTTTTAGATTACTGAAATAACAAGGAACAAATTGTCAACAAAACACAACCTCTACAAGTGCACCGGACAGAACTAACAATAAAATTGGCTTCAGCTGTTCTATAAGGATGAGAAATCTACTAAGGGAGTATGATCTATGCTAATATCATTAGAATAATAAATTTCAAATAACATAAAAGAAGAAGGAATGTGTGGCATTGTAGTTTCCAAACAAGTTATGGACACACTTTAGAGTTTAAAAACAGTTTATGGGATATCTTAATTGGTGTACCTACTAACATTTTTAATTCATTGAAGTTATGATTTTAATTTTATACAACAATAAACAAGTATTATGGAATGAGTGGCATTGTTGTCCACCAGGAAAAGGGAAACCGAGACAGTTAAAAGGTAAAATGTCCACAAATTTAACTGTTTGACTTACTTGATAATCATTACAATGTAAATATATAACAAAATGTATTCTATCTTAATACTGGCCAGTATATGCCTAGCAATCTAGTTAATCTGCAGTCTTCTCTATATCCGTAGACGCTAGGCAGATAAGAACAACATTTTATTTTAAAATTGTATGTCAAAAATTTACACTCATGCGTTAAAAAATGTTAAATTAAAATTCAGCTATATAAAATTGGCTTCTGTTACTTCTACTAATTGCCATTAATTTTTTTATATTAGTTTCAAAGGCAAAAAGTAAGTGAACTACAATATTTGTTGAACAAATTATGCGATAATTTAATACTGAGAGAGGTCATAATTAAGGTAACCTACTTGATTGACACAACTTTTACCTCAGAATCACCGAGTCTGTGAGCTCTTCTTTTAACTTGAATTATTTTTGGTTTTTCATGTAAAAGCGGTGAAGTTCCATTGTCAGAATGTGGTGGTTTTGTACTTGGTGAATTTTCTTGATTCTTTACTAAACATTGATTCACATTTTCTTTTACAGAGTTTATTTTAGACAAAACAACATCTTCCATTTCAGTTGTACTGCTGCACTCTTCTGTGACAATTGTTTGACTGAACTCGATTGTTTCACTTTTAAGAACTGTTACATTCATAGGTTTCACCAATATGTTGGAAGACGACTCTGAGCTGGTATCATGAGACTTTTCTTGCAAAATATTTTCTTTGCTTTCATAATCTTGCTTGGTAGGATTTTCAGTTTTTTCCTTTGTCTCCACCTTTCCAGACAGAATTTGTATTTGTCTTTTCAATCGCTCTAACTCTTCTTTGTAACTTAAATTTGTATCATCATCTTCTTCTTTTGCTTTACTTGATTTTTTATCTTCAGTTTGAGATAAGTTTATGTCACGATTTGCATTATTTAGTTTAACACTAGAATCAGCAATATTGTTAACTATATTACCATCTAACTTGTGTGTGGAAGAGCTAGTATTTCTTGGCCCTCTATCATAAGAATGGGAGGAGCCACTTCTTGATCTTCGCCTGTAATTTCGGCTCCTATGTCTTTGTCTTTCATCAATCATTCTATGATTAAATTCTGAGCTCCTACTTCTAGATCTGTCACCTCTGTGCCTACTTTTATGATGAGAGCGTCTACTATGATGTCCCCTCTCATCATACCTATGTCGCCTACTATCTGGACTGGGAGACCTCCTGTGGTAATCATCATATCTTGAACGCCGGCTTCTACCTCCACTATATGTTCTAGTTGGGGAATAATAACGATGATCCTTTCTTCTGCTATAATCAGAACTTCTGCTAGGAGGTCTCTTTAAACTGTGGGAATGTCTTCTCTTGTATTCAGGTGAGAGTTCATATCTGCTTCTACTCTTTATGCTGCATTCTGGACTTTGGCTTAATGATCTTCTTGATTTATTTTGATGGTTTTGTGCAAATTCTGGAGATTTACATTTTGTGTCACGCTGTTGATGTTTTTCTGGGCTGAGGCTTCCTGATTTTCTTCCTTCACTAGGTGTTGATTCATTGTGTATAACATGATCTTCTTTATAACTTTTATTTGTTGAGTCACTGTCACAAGGCTTTTCAGACACTTTTGAAGTGGACTTCTTATCTACACTTTTACACTCACTTATTTTTCCAACATCCTCAATGTTTCCGGAACCATTTGAAACCAACTTTAAAGCATTTAGGTCCTGTTTATGTTTAGTGAGTAGATTGGCATTTGTTCTCAATCGTACTTCAGGACCAAGACTAACAGAACGCCGAGTGTAATGTCTTCTATCTTTGTGTGAAACATCAAATCGTCTTGAATAGGGTTTACTATATGTATTTCTCTTTCCTTTTTCAAGCAAAACACTATTATCTTTAGCCAACGGTTTTTGGGTCGAACCTGGTTTTTCTGTTGATTTGTCAGCTGTTTTTTCACTACATTTTGAGGTTTCTGATGGAATCGTGTTTTCCTTTTCTTTATCAGCTTTGTTTTGATATTTACTAATGCGAAGTTTTTTATTGATACTTTCTACATGTGATATCTGTTCAAACTCATTATTTTTATTTTGGACCTTGCACTGATCGCCTTCACTGGAAATTATGTTGTCTGATGGTTTAGATTTGCTTTGGGACACTTGATTGACTTCCTCTGACTTTAAAGCGGCATTTTTCACTACATTAAGATAATTCATTGGTAGAGGTTTTTGTATCATTTTCAGACTTTCACTTCTTTTGAACGATGTAGATGTTTTGCTACAAGTAGAATTAGATGAAGAGATTGTTTTTGCTAGGCTAAGTAGATTTTCAATAGCATTGATATTTGTGGGAGAGCCTGGAGAGTTATCTTGTTTCAAAGGTTTAGTCTGTTCAGCTCTTTTACTGGTAATTTTTATTTCAGAATCATTGACAACCTTGCTTGATCTTACATTATATGCCACATCTTTACCAGCTTTACAAACAAACTTAGGGGTTTTTACTTGCTCACTATTTTCTCTTTCACAAACAACTTCATGTTTCTCACGCATTAAAGCAGGTTCAACTTTTTCTACATTGCTTGTTGTTTTAAGCTCAGGCGTGACTTTAGTCTCTGTTGTTATTCGTCGAACAGGTTTTGTTCTTCTAAAGGGATTGTTTCTGGGTGACTGTGATGTCCTAATGTTGCTTACGTCAACACTAGAATCGTTAGGAGTCCTTGTACTCTCTGGGTTATCACTTTTATCTCTACAGATATTTGTTGTATCATTTGTTTCTTTTTTCGGGACTGTTAACAGCTTTGAACTACTATTTATAGCCGATTTATTGGATGGAGAAGAATTAGTACAATTAGAAGTTGTATTACCTGTTGCACCAGATTTTGAGCTACCATTACTTTCTTGAAGACTCTGACTTAAAGGCTTTAGAAATTCAAAATTCTTTTTCTTCATCATCTCCCTTTCTTGGTCGCCTAAGCTTTTGGGTTCCATAAGGTCTGATGACTGGGATTGTTGCAAAGACCCATTACTTTTCTTCACAGGTGTTCTTATAGGTGATATATCTCGCATACGAGTCAGAGCAGACACAAATCCCAATGTATCTTCAGTCAAAGCAAAGACACTATTTTCAGAGTGTTTAAAAGCAGAAACTAATGTTAACTGAGGAGGAGATGGTGCAAATCTAATTTCTGGAAAGTCTTCAATTTTGTTTTTAAATACGGTTTTGGTATCATTATTAGACTGTGACAAATTGGATATAGAAACCTTTTCTGGAGACCAAACTTTGTCAAATGCCACAGAAGTTTGAGAGTTTTTCAAATCCTTTAAATTGTTCATATCAGATTCTTCGTTGTTAGCAAGTTGCTCCTCTTCATTTTTGACAGCAACTAATTGGGGTTCTAAGATCACTTCCTCTGAGATCGTTTCTTTGCTTTCAACCAATGTTTGAGACAAACAAATTGTTGTTTCCTCTTTTTTGCTAAAGTGATGCTCATTTATTAATCCATTGTCATTTTCTTGTTTTTCAAGTAGTTTTATTTTTTCTGAAACAATTGAATGAGTTGTGTTTCCTGATCTTACTGCACTTGGATCTAATCCAGGATCTTGTCTATCTAAGAGGGGTTCTGGCTTATTGCTTGTTGTGTTTATCTTGGTTGACAAATTATCATTAGTTTCTTCTAACTTATTCTTTTCACTAACTGACACCCTTGGCGAATTAATCTGGGAACCAGCTGTTGTATCAATGACTAAATCTTCATCACTGTCACTATCTAATGAGGGACTATCAGGGAAAATAGGCGATCCAGGTTGTAAAAATCCATTAGGTGGAGAAGGAGCTTTTAATTCATTGGCATCTGCGTTGTTTCCTGGCAGTACAATAACATTATTTTCCAAACCAGATTTTAATGGGCTTTCGCCAAATAGAGATGTTATAAATTTACTTTTCTTTACAGCATTTGGAAATGTTTCCAGCTTAGGCTTTTGACTCAGTGATACATTTTTATTTTCAGCAGGGAAATTTTCTGATAGCTTGCGCTTCCTTGACTCGGATTTGATTTCTGTTGGGGATTGGTCAATGTGTTTACTACTGAGAGGGGTAGACTTTTCTACTTTAGGGACCAAATTCCCAAATGTGACAGGTGATATTGTCAGCTTTTCTGTAGGCCTTTTGTTAATATTTGACAATAATTTGCTGGTCGCTCTAGATGCAGGGCTATTGTCTTTTTTAGGCTCTGCAACGTTTTTACCTTTAGCAAAACTAGTCTGAGGAGAGGATCGTCCAGAATTTTGATGCTTCAATATATTTTCAATGGTTTCATTTAAAGAGTAACAATTTTGCTGATTTTTCTTAGAGGAATCTCTGAGATCACACTGGATAACTATATTTTCAATGGTATTTTTGGATCTTGAAGGCGTTTGAGCTTCAACTGTTATTGAAGATTGTATCTCAGGTGATAATTTAGCTGGTGGAGATGTTTTGCATGAGGTTCCCAGCTTTATAATTTGTTGTACATCTTTCTGCAGTTTGGATGTTATACTATCAGATTTACAAGTATGCAATGTCTCTGTTTCTTCATTGGAAGTACTTCGTATCACATCAGTCTTAACAGGTAACTCCATATTTTTAAGAAAAATATCGTTAACCTTTTCAGGACTAATGCCATGGATTTTCTTATAAATTCTTTTAGAATAAGTTGTAATGGGGCCCTGTATGGGTGGGGGTTTGGCTTTTATTGGATTATTTCCAGTAAGTTTTGGAGTACCAAGATCTTTATCACAAGGTAAATCAACCGTGTTCTTATCTTCATTGCTTTTCTGAGAATACTGCTCTTGAATATCATTCCTTTCCCCTTCTGGCAATATGTTTGTAGGTTTCTGGTTTGTCAAACAGTCTGATGATCTGTTGGATGGTCTTGGATTCTCTAACTTCTCCGGAGACACCTTGGGTGGATTAATCACTGCATCGTTTGTTTCAATAGTATTTTTAGGCAGTTCTGAATGTTCTTGAGTCTTTTTGGGATATTGTGAAGAGATCTTTCGGTCATCTACTTTTTCCCTCCTTATTGGAGATCTATACCTTCTTGGTGACGGATTCCCATATCTTCGAGATCTTGGCGAAGCTTGACTTGATCTCTTTCGAAAAACCAAATCGTCTTTCCTGCAACACAAAGAAAAAAATTACAGTTTAAGTTTGTGTGATGATGTTGCCAGTTGACTAACTGTTGTAGAATAAAGGCAAATAAAATGTACTACCGGTACCAATATTTGTCAAATACCCCAATCACTCAAAGCTGTAGACTAAGCATATTTTCATTTGTCTGATTTGATTTTTACTCAGATACTTCCTTAAACATGTCAGATCTATTCCGAATACCAAATCACGGTGCTTTTAGTGATTGACGGAATGCAACTTCAAAGTATTTTTTTATGAGAAAAAAAAATCGTATAAGGTTGGTTTTAACTGTTTTATGTTCAGAATTTAATAAATAATAAAAAAAATAAAAAAATAAAAAATTGTAAAAATTCTTTTTTTTGGCCATTTTTGGCAACGACCGAATACCAAAACACGGGACGGTGCTTTTAGTGATTGACAAAGTGCTACTTCAAAGTATTTTTTTATGAGAAAAAAAAATCTTATAAGGTTGGTTTTAACTGTTTTATGTTCAGAATGTAATATATAATAAAAAAAAATATAAAATAAAAATTGTAAAAATTCATATTTTGGCCATTTTTGGCGTGAACTCCCCCCTTAAGCTGTGATAATCTAATAGGATTAAAATGAAATAGATGAAAATGTTTTTGTAGGGTAATTCAGAGTTACTTTATAAGATTTTTATAGCATTGGTATTTGTTGCAAAGTCGTTATTGAAGTTCATAATTGAATATTAAAGGGTAATACATTCAAGGGTGCCACAGTCAGTATTTTATTTGGGGGAAATTAAAGTAATATCAAAGGTGGGAGCAGGTAGCTGGTTCGACTTGATACGGAGGTGTTATCGGAGGTTGTGACAGTTTATAAAATAGATGAACCGCCAAAGTACCAAATTAGCCATAAAATAATAAGCGACATTCCAATACATATTACTACGATTAAGCACAATATTGTTTAATCTGTTGGACTGCGAGACTCAACCTTCGTTTTTGAATCGTTGGCCAACGAACAGGATTTGCTTGGTACTGGTCATCTCAAACAATTAAATCAAATATCACTCTTCCGTTGACACATTCGCGATCAGTGTGTAACCGCGCCGTATCTTCCCTTTTGATAGATCCATTTCACATTCTTAAACAAAGACTTCAAATTGACTGTGTCACTCGAGGTCATTCATTATTGTATATAAACATAACAATCAATTATTAGGTACAATCAATTGTAGTACTCGTCAACACTGTACAATAAATCAAATCGTTACTCAACTTTTAGTTCTCAATAACCTTGGTAGTTCATTATTAGCAATATTGGTTATCTGGTGCAATAATAGTACAATTCAGTAAGTCACAGACCACTACAAAAGATTCACCTTTGAAGTGCAACACTAAATTCTAGTGTAGTAGTGAGCAGATTAAATTCAGTGTAGATTAAGATTGGCTATTAATCATTATATTAAAGGTATTTCAGTCTGGAAGAACTTCAAACAGTACCAAGGACGTCCCATAAGGACTTCTGGGGATATTTTTTTATTTTACAGGGCCCACTTAAATATTTCTTTAACACCAAGCTTCCACTGCCAAAGCTCTGTTCTATATTATTATAGCCTTCCAAGTTCTTCCAACCTAGGGACAACCAAAATTTGTAAAGAATTCTTTTTGAGAGCATTGCAAGGAGTAAATATATTTAAATATAATATTTAAATATATAAAAGTAGAGGGAACCTTTCTTTTTCTTTACACTATGACTATTTGATATTGATACTACTATTGTTACTTTGTTGGTTAACTTTGACACACGTTATTGGTTGGCTTGTTTATAAGTTTATGTACATGTTTTTGCAATTATAACTATTTAAATTAAAGCTGTACCGGTTTGTATATTTTGGAAAATTTTAGGGTAAATTATATTCTTGATCTTCCACTTATCTCCAATGTATTACACTCAGTCCAGAATTTTCTCCAAGGTTTCCAACTGTAAATTTCACTGTGATTGTGAGTAATGAAGGTGATTACAATGTCTCCTTGATCCCAGGAGATGTTAATGATTCGCCGTGTTCGAGGGAGCTGGCCATAATTTCGTTGCTATTGCAAGAGAGGATGATGATCCTGGTCACAGATTACAGTCATGACGACATTAAATAGCCCAATAAACAATAATTAAATTTGTTGACATTATTGCCATTTGCAAGAAATTTTACTCAAGGTAAACAAAACAAATTTAAGTTTCCCATGTTGCACTGTAAACAAAATTCTTTGCCGGCCTAAACTTAAAGTACAAGCCCGTCAATCACTAAGTACTTTTATGATCAATTTACTGACTTACCGTCGATTGACATCGGTAAGTGACGGATAGGCTTAACGAAGCCATTTTGGTAAAAGTTTTATTTGTGATTTTCTCTTTATTTTTATCCAATAAATCATTAGGCCTACAGTAGAACCCCTCATATCCGACCATGATGGGACCGGGCCATTTACCGAGCCAGCCACGGTCGGAACGGCAAAACTATCGCCGAGGACAATTATCTGCAGTATTCGCGACATCGGTAATCGTCTCCCGAGACCACGATAACACCCTCGAGCATACTTTGCAGTCTCCGAGACATTGGCAATCGTCTCCCACGACTGCGACAACACCCGTGAGTGTAACTTGCAGTCTCTGTGACTTCGATAATCATCCCTCGCAACGGCGGCAACACCCGTGAACGTAACTTGCTGTCTCCGTGACTTAAGTAATTGCATGTTACGGCGTCAACACCCGTTAATGTGGTGATCCGTCTGCCACGATAGGCCTTTCGGTTAACCGATCGTCCTCGGCGTTATCGCCCCAGACAGGAAACAAGTAGACAGTAGGACATCCCGAGGATTGGGTTATTCGAGGTCGGATATGAGGGGTTCTACTGTAGTTAAATTATGTTCCCACCTTTATTTGAACACCCTGTTATTCAGTCAGCAATAAGTTCAGAATATAATATTAGATTAAGGGCCAACTTACTCTCTTCTTATTTCATCTATCAATCTGTCCTTCCTTTTGATCTCAGCTTGGGCAGTCTTAAACAAAGCTGATGAGTTGAACGACACAGTCTTATGTTGCTCCTTCAAGTCATTATAATCTTTGCGAAGCTCTTCATAGCTCTTCTGCAAGGAAGTTAAACTTTTTAACAGCAACTCCTTCTCCTTCAGAAGTTTTTCAACTTTTTCTTTGAGCTGAAAAAAAAAACTTGTTTAAAACTTGGTATAAATGCTGTACAAAATAACTGATAATCTAAGTCAGCAATCGAGTGTAGAAAGCAGTAAATCATATCGTCTTTCCAAGTAGCAAGCAATTGAGAAGCTAGACGCAAAACATATAAGCTTGAATCTCTGCTCACAACCTTGACCTTTAGGTTGGAGCTCGTTCGCTGCACTCACTTGCTGCTAACTCGCCTCCAGGTTGAAGTTTGTTCGCTACGTTCACTCACCTTTTGGTTGAAAAATTAGCTGTTGTCATAAATTTAAAAAAATAATGGTGCTGCACCGTGTTGGTAAACCCATTAACTTTTTAATGCTGTTGAACATTACAGAATCAAATTGTTTAGTTGAACCATCTGTTAAGATTCTTTAATTCCATTTAAATATGAGTACTCACAACGTTAACATGGGAAACTCCAGAGCCACTGGGGCGGAGCCCTTTTGACGGATCTGCACCAAACTTCACACAAACCATCCTTGAATAATGCTTAATAATGCCTGAAAGTTTCATTACAATCTGCCGAGCGGTTTCGGAGGACAAACAAACATAGGCCTACATTGGATTTTATATATATATATATATATAGACTAAAACAAACTTAAGATTTAAGACTGCCATAAAACATAAATCAGAACATCTAGTATTATTATGTATATTTAAATAATCACTCATGCTCTTGCCAAATAAATTAACGTATTATAGCATTACACATAGTATGAATACGTCAACCCTACGTATTTAATTTAGTTTTTATCCAAATGCTGAATTTGTGTCACAAACGCTGAATGTGCTTAGCTGTTACGTTAAGCAAATGGTGTTATACCAAAAGCTTGTCTAGAATGTTAGCGTCGGCTGCTAGACTTTTTGAAAATTAAAACTTTATTTCTAAAAACTGAAACCCTAAACAAAAATTATGCCTTCGACATTCCCTAGTTCTCAAAATTATCTTTCTTTCAACACAAAAATCATGAAAATCCGTCAAGTGGTTGGTTCAGAATCGTGAAATAAAAAAACCCTGTCACGTTTTTATATATACTGTATGATTAGAACATACAAAGCAAAAATTGTAGGCCTACTAACTGGTAACTTATAAAAATTGGTCTATATTGTTATTGAGAAAACATGATTTTCATATTGGCAGGTGTAAAAAGTAGCCTACTGTAATACAAATCACGAAAGCGCATAATTTTATTACCATATCATAGCCTACTTATTAATAATTAGGCCTACATAAAAATACCTTATACAAAGTAACCTTTACCTTGTAACCTACTTAAGTAAGTAGAATTAATATTAGTTTGCATTTAAATCCAAATCCTATTATTCTAAAGCCTCGTTCACACGGGGCGAGTTTACAAGCTACTCGCCAGCGTGTAACAAGCTGGTGAGTCAGCGAGTGCGCTTGTATTCGTTCACACGGAGCTTTTCCACTCGCCAACTTGTAGAAAGACACCGGCGAGTGTGCTTGTAGTCGTTCACACGATGCTTATTCCACTCGCTGAGTAGCTTGAACCAAATCCTCCGACATCTTTGAATAAAATGTGCACAAGCGCATGCAACTGTGTTCACACTGGGCTACTTTACACGCCTACTCGCTCAAAAGCTGGCGAGTAGGAGTGTAAAGTAGCCGCAGTCAACTTTTTCCAGAGATTTTTTACAAGCAGTTTTTGAGCAAGTATGTCGTTAACACTGAGCTATTTTACTAGCTGCGTGTAAAGGAGTCGGGGTGTAGCTTGTAAATACGCCCCGTGTGAATGGGGCTTAAGGGACTTATTTACTCCTTCCCTCTATAAGCCGCAAGTATTTATATTTTTATTGGGAAAATTGAAAAAAAAAACTCTTTGAATAGGCCTACTGGCTTAACATTTGGTTGTTGTCTACTATTTTATTTCTTGTCTACTTATTTTAAAACAATTTGAAAACTCTCGCCTAAAACACCAGTACAATACCAGTCCATCTCTCAAAACACTGTAATTTTCTCTTATGTACAATCATCTTTCATGAAAGAAGGTTAGCCCAATTGGGTCTATACTCCTGGCAAAATAATTACCTGAATGGTTACCTGAACAGCGCTGTTGCAGAGTAGTGTCAGCGGCCCAAACTACGCCACCTCGGGCATGTTAGTAAGTCTGATTTGTTATTTATTAGGCTAATATTGTGTTTATTGTAGGTTGTACAACATAGCCTGGTTTTTGTTGATGATATTTGTTTGTTTGGTCGTAGGCTAGTTTTGTTGTTTTATAATGCATTTTTGATACTAAATTATTTAAAGGGGCTTTTAGGCGCACTGCACTAAGTTACCGAACGACGACCGAGGCCCAAGCGGCAGCTGCCCAAATTACGTCACCAAAATCGGTAACAACTACTAGCATTATATGTCTCATCTTAAAAGGGTATACTCTATGATGGTATATTTAAATTATTTCTCTATAACAGATGTATTATTTTATTTTTGCCATGAAGCGCTGAGCAACAGACCAGCGTAGGCCTACTGGTAAAAAAAAAAAAAAAACACAAATGAGCAGAACTGATAACCAGAAATTGAGATACAGTAGACATACTTACTGGAATGATAAAATCAGAATCCATGTTATAGCCTAATGAACAAATAAGTTACATGTTCAGGGTAGGCTACCTAATCCTTTTATTTCCTAATCCTGTTCAGGCCTACCCAAAACGATATAAGTTAGACTAGGACCTCAAACAGATATTTCATCCAAAATTATAAAGTTTCTTTGCGGAACTGTTCTAAAACTTTGTCTTGGATGGAAGATTGAATTTGCATGGACCTTAAGTTAGCTAAGTGATATGTCATAATTAGCCTACATTGCTGAAAGCGATATAAAATTAAATGGTTAATGGACATGCCTCTAGGTTTCTTTAGCCCCTCTGGAAAATGCAGAGGGAGAAGCTAGACCTAACCTAACCTAAATATTACCTTGGAAATTAAACCATCCTGGTCGGAGAGAACGTCAGAGTAAATATCGATGTCTTCAGCACTTTCACGCTTATTTTCTTGTTCATTATCTGTTGCACTCATTGTATGTTACCAAACATACTATTCTGTCCTTTTGTAAAAATAAACTAAACGAGCTTTCAACTTAGTAGGCCTAGGCCTATGTTTGACTTTTTAGCTCACTTGCGCTGTCATTAGGAAAAATTAAGCGGACTGCGATGTAGGCTAATAGGTACGTAACTTTAAACCACTAGTATAACTAACACGAATAAAAATATTAAAATAATAACTTTTTCCTTTTTAGGGAACAAAACAGCAGAACAGTAAATAAATAAAATAGCAATAGAAACCTGACTCACTGACTCTGACACTCTGACATGACATAAGAAATGTGAAAACGAAAACGAAACGAAAACAAAGGACGACAAAGACAAAACGACATGCATAGAGTATTAAGGCTTTTGTTTTGGCGCCAGTATAGCAAAACTTTTCCATCGAGTACTAAGAAACACTTGGTAAAATATAAAATACCCCCGCCGCAGCAAACCTGCAGACTAAGCGAATTTCAACTTGTCTGATTACTATTTTACTAAAATATTTCCATAAATAAGACATATTATTCCCTATTTAAATAACAATAGATTTAACAAGTGCTTAGGTTTGCTGCTACGGGGAAGGTAAAAAGTGTTTTTTGACCATACATCTATAGTATAGGATGAAATAAATAAATTTGCCAAATTTGATCAATATGTACCCATAAACAAGTAAACTACAACAATTTTCATTTTCTCCATAAGAATAACATGGGAATTTTTAATTACACAATTTTTGAATTTTCTCCATGACCGTTAGGCATACAACAGCGCTTCAATATACTAAATTATTTCTTTTTTTTAAGCTCTACAAAACGTTTTAGAAAGAAATCGCAAAATTTTTTGTTTTTAGGTTCAAAAATGGGAAAAACCCATTTTTACCCCATAAAACCCCCCATAATCCCCCGTTCCCATGGTCCGATTATGCTGGATCGCGAACTCGTTCGAATAAACGTAGGTTTACACGTTTGTACCAAATTTCATCAAAATCGGATCATTTTTGCTCAAGTTATCGCGCTAACGGACACATATATATATAAATATATATATATATATGATATTGAACGGATGGTGTTTTTGGCCTCTAGGGACCTCAAAATGAAAAATTAGATCGGTCTCGGGTCCAGGTCTTACCATGAGTACTACGGTAATAGCTTATTCCCTATATGGGAAATTCGCTAAAATGTTTAATAATAATTTATTACAATACTTTATACTGTAATATAGACACCAGTAATTAAATTTGCATCATAAACCAGGAGAACCGAGTGGTGCTCTGCTTCCCCAACCAATAAAATCAACGGTGTCACCAGTTTACTATTCTATCACGTGCTAACTCCAGTTGTTGTAAGGATAGCATCTCACACTGTCGCCCAGTCAAAAATTAAAAACCTCTTTGGTTTAAGGTTTGTTTAGCAGCCGTTATATTTCTTTTCACCACACTATGATGTTTTTAGCTGTTTTACATACGTTAATTGGTGGCTGAAAGTCACGTTTTGCTGGCCATGCCAGCTATCGTTATTATTTGGGGAGGGGACCAAGTAGGTTTCCCAAGGGCCGCAAAATCAGCTGCCCACATACTTACTTACTGTAAAACATGAATGCATATTAATATGCTTTGCAATAGAATTGTTTTATTGTCACGGTTGCCTAGCAACTATTTATTATTATATTTGCCGATTCCACAAATTATTTCTCCACACAACCTTAAAGTTGTAGTTGTGTTGACTATTAGTATGCATTATTTTTGTCGTAGTGGTGAAAAATAGCGTTCGTACCACGGACCGAAATGGTTTTGCAGCTCTCGATCGTTTTAAGTTCTCGACTTCGTCTCGAACTTAAAAACTATCTTGAGCCGGCAAAACCTCATTTTAGGCCCTAGGTACGAAATATACTGAAAATTTTGTATTTTTGAAACAGTTTGGTAACTTTTTATAGCCATTTTCAACATCTACAACTGTGTCTAAAAACCTGCCGTTGCAATTAAATTTTGAAATTTATGTTTAAATTTATATTTTATGGGTCCAAGGGGGGAGCTTAGCCCATATAGCCCCCCCCCCCCCCCTTGGAACCGCCACTGCTTTGATAGAGATTTTGGTAAGGTTGAAAATATGAGGAGAAACCCAAAGAGAGGCTATTATGTTCCTTTTGATGACTGAGTGGTGGTTATTGTGGTGTTATTGTTGTATAATCCGACATCTTTTTACAATACTCTTTTTGCTTGCTCCCAACTCCCAGGCTCCCGAAATAACGTGCACCCAGTCATTTCAGATAAAGATTTTGTTTCCCTAGATGGCATTCAAAAATATTTTGTGAAATCTGTGAAAAGTATATGTAAAATGCAGTGGTTGCGATTTGGAAAAAGCCACACTTGGGCATTGCTCTACAAAACTAATGAACTTAATGTACCTGATGGGTTTTTAACCAACTTTTAAACTTAGATTTAAAATAAAAAATTGTATTTGTCACTTGTACCCCTTGGCTTCTCACCCCTTCATTTCATCTTCGGAGTTATTTATCGCAGAAAGCACATTGTTGGTCGTCATGTATAAAGTAAAAACATATCACTCGGATTTGAGAAGTAAATGTTCGATTTTTTTATAAATTTATTACACATGTTTCAGCAGACCAAATGACATAAATAAATAGATCGTTCTCATAAACTCTAGCAAGTTTACTGTTATGCCAGTATATAAAATAGGAACTCCTGTACATATTTTAACCATAAAGAGATTTACTTTTTGCTAAAGCAATGCTAAGCACAGTTTTTTTACCATTTCTCACATAGTACTGTAACAGTTAAATGCATGTACTTTATTTTACATTTGAAAATAACAAAAACAAGTATAAAACTTTAAAATTTTCATGAAACCTAGAAAAACTAACTTTAGTTTATGGTCTACCAATAACAAATCACCCATGTATACTATTTCCTTTTTATTCTAATATTCACAAAATCACCTAAATAAAACAGCATATTTTCCCCAACAGTTGGCGGGTAAACTGAGAAAAACGGAGGGAAGCAGCGCGGCGCGCCGGGCGACGGTTGCTGGCCGATTCTGCTCTCCTGATACCAAAGTACATCCTAGAGATGACGTCGGAGGTGCACAGAGAAAGGGTTAAATAGGTTCGACTTTGCAGACTCGCCGCCGTTTCTCGCGTGGAGTATAGTCTAGCGGGTGAACCTCTTCGTGTTGAGGCAGGTCATGGTTGCGACTGCGCCGGACGAGTCCATGTTTTGGCGGACTCTCGTCTGGGGGGTGTACGGTCAACGACCTACCGCAAACACCCTGCCGGTGGACTCGACTTCGCGAGTGCATAAGTTTGAAAAAAGTTTCACCAAGAGTAACCGTAGGGTTTGATGACGTCGTCGGTGACGTACAAGATGCACTGGAGTGATGTCAAAAGTGGAAATTACTCTGGATATTCGCAATCGGCTCAGTTGCCCGAGAGGTGCGATCGTGAACACATCTAAGATATATTATGAATTTTGTGTTAAGTGCGGTACGAATATATTATTATTTTTATGGAATTAAAACAATAAGTTAAGTTAGTTAATACGAATTATAATATAATGAGATTTTTAAAATTGTAAATGAATAATAATAGTTCCTGGCAATGAAAAGATTAATTGAAAGTGTATTCACCAAAGTGCCCATGTAAGTACTTTTGAAAATTTATAAGAATGTAGGGTATGTAATTTTTTACTGAATATTTATCTCTGTTTATCAAAGTTAGGAATTTCTCTAAATAGTTAATCATTTGAAGCCATAGCGAGGAGTTTTGTGCACACCAAAAAATATTACCGAAGACATAAGTTTAACAATAATCGAGTGGTGTGAACTAATAATAATGGATAATATTTTTACCCCATTAACTAAGAATGAATAAAAGTAATAAGAAACTTGTGAAAATTATGTTATATTGGCTGGAATAGGAATATGATAATTTAAATTAACGTTATAGTCACTAAGCAATAAATAATATCTTTATTCTTGTAGTGTCTGTTTCTTGTTTTCATTCTAAATATTAAATCTCTGAAGAAAATTGAGGGAATATGAGACATTCACTGAGTCATTCAGTGTTACCACATTAGCAATATTTACAAGTATTTTAATTTACTATACTTTGATAATTCTTTAGAAACCTGAACCAAGTTGCAAAATGATATTGAAATCGTTCTGTCTGATTGCGTTACGTAAATACACTAAGGTACTTTCATAGACTATAAAAAGCCATAAATGCCAAACAAACTATCTTATCTTTGACATCAAGGTCTAACGATAAAATATATTTCTAGCGACCTCGAGTGGTTTATAACACCTCTTGATTTATTAGTGGTTCTCTGAGTTGAATTTTCAGCATTTCAATTTCGAAAATTAAATATCCAGCTCATTGGTCAGAGCTTGAGAGTTTTCAAATGACAGAATTGAATATTAAATACAATTTTTGTTATTTTCGTGATTATATTTTCTATACAACACAGGATTTTTAATTTGTAAATATTTTCCTGTCCTGTACAATTATATTCTTTGGTCAAAAATTAACTTGGTTCAGATTAGATTGCACCTTTTTGTATAATGGTCGGTGTGATAATCCATGCCTGCCTTCTTTCTTATGTTAACACTACCTTCTTTGAACTAACATATGTTTTTTTTATTATTATGATTTTGTAAACATTATCTTTTTTAAATACACATCTTTTGTCAAGTCCTATTAATTTTTGTCTTGTCTGTCCTTAATATTTTTAACAGTCGGAATAAGATTGAATATAATAATGTCTTCGTTATTAGTTTAAAGCGGTAACATTAACATAAACGTAGAAAACCTGTACAAAGTTATGACAAATGCTATTAAAAAGTGTGTGGAATTAATTTAGGATTTACTTCGATATACTGTCCAGGTGGAAATTATTTTAGAACCAAGATTGTATAGCAATATAAAAAGACAGACAAAACACTTTCATTCCAATAATAATTGTATTTATGGAAAATAATATTAAATACCGGGTACGAGTATTTTTATAAAATATCGTTAAATTAATATCGTTAAAATATCGTTAAGTTTGTTCATCGAATCTCAAATAATTAGACAATTCGAATCTGCTTACTATGTATATTTTAGCGCAATTTAAATTTTTTTGACCTGGCAAGTTTCTTAAATTCTATAATTTTCCTATACTAGTTAGTTTATATATATTATTAGTTCGTTTATCTTTTCTAAATGATTTTCCAATCGTTCAACTAAAACGTGCATATCAGTAAGATTAACAATTGTAGGCCTATGTGATTTTTAGAAACAAGCATATTTAAAACAATCAGGGCCGGATTTCCCAATAGGCCCGGTAGGCCCGGGCCTATGGGCGCAAGGTCCCAGAGGGCGCACGGCCGAGAGTATTTTTTTTTTATACCTAGGCTATCTAAAAATAAAAAAAATAAATAGTCACAGTTGATAAAAAAAACTCCAAAGCATTGTGATTCTGAAGTTCATAAGAAGAAATAATTGTTACAAAATCTAAACTATTTTTCAGAATTACGTATCAATTTCGTTTCAAAATTGGTAACGAACATTGGTTATACGGGAGTAGGCTGTAGGGATGTTGACGTTTACGAGCGCCCAAGGAGTACGCATCGTATTGCCACTGCACTGCCACTATGCTGGTTTGGGCTCGGCACTACTGATCAGAGTGATTAGGGGCGCATGCGTGCTAGACATTGTTACTACCCTCACCTCACAAAACAAAAGTTATTAACTAATCTTTTGATTAGTTTACAACAATCTGCAGGATCAAGTTAATAAGTTGTGTTGAATATTAATACAACGATGAATTTACCATTAAAATTAACCAAAAATATTAATCTCAGTTTGCATTAGAAAAATTCAATACCCTCCAATGCACCAATAATGCTGTCATTTTCTCCTCAGACCTAAGGATCGACGGTTGGCCGGAATATTTCTCTGTTTTGCTTTGGAAATATATAACCTAGATGCAGTACGACCATAGATTAAATATAACTCAAGTCGACTTCTTATGACATTGTTAATTCAAATTTTTTTAATGTCTAGTTCATGTTGGTGACACTGGACGTTAGTTTTGACGTAATTTTGTTTCCATTATTTTAGGGTTAGTTCTATGATGTGTGTTTCAATTTCTTTTAATATAACCAGGAGACGACCTATTGTTGATGATTAGATCGTTTTATTTTAGATAAACTAGGTTTAAACCACGATTACTAGAAAAATACCGCTATGGATCATAAACATAAACAAATGACGTTGTTGGCCCGAATCCTATACTAATAGCATTGAACATATGTTTTGGCAGTTCCATTTAAGCAATGTTAAATCATGTTTTTTTCGGGCCAAAATTGTCATTTGTTTATGTTTATGATCCATACAGGTATTTTTCTAGTAATCGTGGTTTAAACATAGATCAAACATACTAGGTACTATTAAATAACAAGAATTGTTTTCAGCTAATCCAAAATGATGACAAATCTACTAAAGGAGTATGTTTAATCTATGGTATCACGTACTGTTTGGAGATCATGTTTTTTGGCCTGGAATTGGAATCAATGGCCATGTTTTTTTTTCAGGAATGCTCGGTGGGTTGAGTTGTTTTGTTTCAGTCCCACAAGCGTTAGCATTTGCCAAAAGCATAAAATTGACAAAAGTGTTTAAGACGGCATTTTGTTAAGGCTATAAACAAGTCAATTCTTAAAAAAAAATTGCAATGATTCCAACGAGGAGTGGTATTTAAGCAATAAACTTAGGTCAATGGGCATGATATAGTTTTTAATAAAGGTTTGAAGGAAAGTAACTGTGACCAGACTAGGGGGCGGAAAATTATTTGGGCCTAGGGGCGCAAAAATGCTAAATCCGGCCCTGAAAACAATCCCACTAAATTTCTAAAATAGATACATCATGGTCGTATAATAAATGCATAAGTAAATTAAACTGGCACCTATTAGAAAAGACATTCATATAAAACAAATCAAACATAAATGTTCCACAAATTCACAAATATCTTTTCCAACTAATTATTATTAATCAAGTACCTATGGAATATAAAAAATGATTGTAACCTGATATCAATAATTGTTAGTATAGTATATAATATATTAATTATTTTCTTTTGTTCTCAGATCTTCTCTGAACGCCTTTGTCTTGATGCGAAGGCTGTATAAATTTGGCAAGGACAAGGCAGTCTGTATTGGGTAAGGTCAGGGAACGGAGAGTCTGCGGTGGCGGGAGGAGTGATGGATGGGCGGGGGGTGTGGAGGGGGGCGAAGGCCATCTACAGAGGTTACTCTCGGTCATTCGCGCGTGACGTCATCAGTCACAACCAAACCCGTGACGTCACTGGTCGATTTCACACATTTGAAACTACCCCCTGTAACTCCACTCCCATCTTATATATGGTGTATGTGCTTTAAAATAATTCTGACATTTAAAAAAATCTATAGTACAAGGTTTAATTGTTGATATAAATTTACAGATTTTTTTTCCAATCTAAGAAGTGAATAAGAACATTTTTAAAATTATAAAAAAAGAGGGCCATTAAATTCTGGAACTGCAGGTTAGATTCACTCAAAGGCCGGCACATTTTGCTGCAATTTGCATTGTAAATAAACAGTATCAACAATCTGACACAGACTTTCTCCCATTAGTTTGCCAACAACCCTTATCCATAGAAAATACTTCTCTATCGAAATGAAGTACTGACCACCCAATAAATATTGGTGGTGATCGGAAGTCAAATTTCTCAAAAAAATGTGCATAAAAAATGTAAGGTAACTTTTTTCAAAACCTGTCCAATGTTGGGAAAAGCCAACATTTTTAATCCTGATTTTAGGGGTTTTCCCATAATTTTTCCGGTTTTAGGGGGTTTTTATATTTTTGCCAACTTTTATATCACTCTGCAAAATAAAACCATAATGTTTTCTTGCAACTTTTAACAATCCCTGTGTCTGTTTTTTCGTTTGCTTGGACTATATAGAAACCATCTATTAATACTTCTGTTAACTGATTAAAATGTGATAGAGACTTGAGAAATGCTACTTTTCTAGAAGTGCTACGAAAATAAAATATGATCTTGGTCTAGCGCCAACACCCCCGGGAAAATTATGAAAAGTCACCCCAATTTTCTAATTGTCATCCCCCGAATTTTATAATCCCCCCCTGTGTGGTTCTTATGGGGAATAAGCTCAAAAGTGGCTTACTTTGGTATGCTGATCTGAAACACTTAGAAATGTGTTAGAAACTTGCTTTGCTTAAGTAAGCAATCTAATAAGGCACCATCCACCCAAGGGGGGCCTGGGCGTGGGCGAGCCAAAGGCAAGTTTTATTTATTATAAAAGAAGCTTACAGATTTCAAAGTACTTACTTTACTACTGTACCACTTTATTTTTGCTGACATGGGGTTACTATATAGATATTAAGAATCATACAATAAATCTGTCAAGTTGTTGATTCAGAATCTTTGGGCAAAAACACTTTTATATCTTATTGTATAGGAAGGATATGGATAAGGCTGAGTGAAGAATGGAGTAAGATGATCTGTGTAGCTCAGCCGCTTAGCACACAACTAAGCCACAACACAACTAAGTGTCTGATGTGGTTTGCAGTACTTCAACTGACATTCTTCTTGAGGAAGGTATATGAATAGGTAGCAGTGGCGGATCCAGAGGGGGGGCGAGGGGGGCGACCGCCCCCCCCTCGGGCATACATATACATATATTTTTTACTGCATGTAATACAGTAGTGCATACAAATTGCGTAAAATAATTTGTCACACTAACTTTGGACAAAGAAATGGTAAAAAACTGTGATTTAGGAGACTTAGTTTACACACATTTTTCGGAGGGGTACCCCCGAACCACCCCTGACTCCCTGGTTCGCCCCCCCCTTGTGACTGCTCTAGATCCGCCACTGATAGGTAGCTGACAAGCAGATAACATCTTGTCATGCCCTCTTTGCATTTAATGCCACTATAAATACTCTTCAATGGGGATTTTTATGATAAATAAATTGTTTGTCAACTGTGTTAAATAATGTTAGCTGAAAGTCGTCTCTTCAAATTTACTTATCAAAAATTGAATTGGAATGGATTATTTTTCAATTGGATAGTGTAATAGCTCTTATGTTTTACATGTGCATGTGGTTAAATCTTTTCAGAATTAAAGTTGGGTTTAGCGCATTATGATAAATAAATACTTTGTTTGACAACTAACTGTGTTAAGTAATGTTAGCTTAAAGTCGCATCTTCATATTTACTTATCAAAAATTGAATTAGAATGAATTATTGTTCAATTGGATAGTGTAATAACTCTTATGTTTTACATGTGCATGTGGTTAAATCTTTTCAGAATTAAAGTTGGGTTTAGCGCATTATGATAAATAAATACTTTGTTTGACAACTAACTGTGTTAAGTAATGTTAGCTTAAAGTCGCCACTTCAAATTTACTTATCAAAACTTGAATTGGAATGGATTATTGTTCAATTGGATAATGTAATAACTCTTCTGTTTTACATGTGCATGTGGTTAAATCTTTTTAGAATTGAAGTTGGGTTTAGCGCCTTATTTGATGAATGAAAAAGTGAAGTACCAATTTCCAACTTCATAAATAATTACCGGTAGGTAGCACAAGTTCATGTTACAAACACCATCATGAAGGTCGATCATTTTGTGGATAAAAACATAGTAACAGAAAAAGACAAAGTCATCGACTTAAAAAATTAGTGTAAACTACAGATTATATAATAACAAATTAAATTATCAAGCCACATTTTAGCATAACAAACAGAAATTCAATTAAAACACATAGTTTCCTTTTGACTTAATCAACATTTACTTTGATAATGGCTGTTTTCACATAGGTAGGCACATAGGTACATACAATAACAATGTTTTGTTGATACTGGAAATAACTGACTTAGACTAATTGTTACATCTCTGATGGAATGACATATCATGTTATACATTGTATGCAATACCACTGGCTATTTGATACTGAAGTATTAATAGTTAAAGGTAATACATAACTTTACTAGACAGCTATATTTATTCATAGTGATTTACATTTATTACATTCTTTTGTTTATGATGGAATCTTATTCACAAATATTTACTATGTACAATTTCACAAAAAATAAATACCCCCGCCGCAGCAAACCTGCCGACTAAGCGAATTTCCATTTGTCTGAATTGATTTTCAGTTAAATATATTTTAATAACATTAGGTTTAACGAGTACCTAGGTTTGCTGCTACAAGGAAACTAATAAAGTGTGTTTTTGAGTAAAATATTGATAGCTTAGTACAAAATAAATAAATTTACCAAGTTTGATCAAAATATATCCATAAACAAGCAAACTACAACATTTGACAATATTCTCCATAAGAATAACATGGGAATTTTAAATTTAATATTTTTTAATTTTCTCCGTTACTAATAATCGAACAAAAATACTTTGATAGACTAAATTATTTGTTTTTTTAAGCTCTTTAAAAAGGTCTAAAGAGAAATCGGGAAATTTTGTGTTTTGAGGGTCAAAAGTGAGAAAAACCAATTTTTACCCCATAAAACCCCCCGTAAAGCCCCGTTCCCATGGTCCGATCGTGCTGGTTCGCGAACTCATTCAAGTTTATCTCACTTTACACCTTTAAACCAAATTTCATCAAAATCGGACAAAAATTACTCAAGTTATCGCGTTCACGGACGTATATATATATATATATATATATATATATATATATGTCTATATATATATATATACATATATAAAAATTTGAACGAATGGTGTTTTTGGCCTCTGGGGACATCAAAATGAAAAAGTAAATCGGTCCCGGGTCTAGGTCTTACCGTGCCACCTACGGTAATAGCTACTTCCCTATAGGGAAATTCGCTAAAAAAGAAGCGTTTGAAAGAAGTAATAATTCAGTCAATACTTATTTTATCAACATATATTTTATCTATTATTGCACTTTGAATTTCAATAATTCAGCTAATCCAATGACCATTTAATCAATAAATAAAAGTTGTCAAAATTTTAACATTACTTTTTTAGCAGATGAAAATCATACAATTTTGATTTGGAGTCTGAGTTCATTCAAAGTACCTGGTACTGTTGACTATCAATACAATGTCAATGCTGGTACTTGTTTTACAACAACAACAAATCACTAATAAGTTTATTTTCCTTTTAAAAAAACAGAGTAAATGTGTATTTTAAATCTGACTTTGGATTGTATACTATCATAGATAAAACATACTCCTCAAGTACATACATATACATAACTTGAGGAGTATGTTTTATCTATGATACTAACCATTATCTTACATAACTACTGAAAATAATAAACTTGCTCAAAATACCCAGCACCTTTATCCACAAAAGTGGGAGAGTAGTTGTAAATGAGAGCTTCAGTCTCTTTTGTGGGGTTCTTGAAATAATGGTTATTTTTCCGAGCCTCTCCGACAAGCCAGTCGTAAAAGTGGCGAGCACTTACAACAGCCTTATGAGAGTGGACTATTCTCTCGGTTGGGTTCCACTCAAATGCGTTCTTCTCTGGATGGAACTGTATACCTGCGACGGGAAGTCCTCGGTGTTCGATGCTGGAGATGAACTCCTTCCTGTTAACGTCGTAACTTGTCGTCAACACATGCCAGGTGTCTGTAAGATTGTGCTGGGCCAGAAGTTGTTCTGTAACACATTTCCTACCAAACAGATTTAGTTGGATTAGTAAATTTACTAAATTTCACCACACTAGAGCTTTTGAAAAAAAAAATAGTTATATGTACCTATACAAATAGTTTTTAGAAATAATTTCTATTGAAAATTTACTTGACTCTGATGAACAAAGAAAATCTCTCGCTCTAACAAACACTGTAAGTAATCTTACACTAACATATAAGTACAACAAGTTGATTAAACCATTAGAATTTTATTCAAAGCTTGGATTACATAACACATCTTATATTTACCTGTGTTGATTGTAGGTCACAGGTAAAGTGCTCAATATCTCAATGACTTCTGTTGGTGCTCGATAGTACAGTTTACTTCGCTGATATTTATTCTTGAACACCAACGGAAGTGCAACATTGCTTGAGTTACAGTTGACCAGAATACTGTAACTCTCTACTTCCAAATACAACAGAAGTTCAAATCCGAGACACACCCCAAGAACTGGAAAGATATCCCCATTTGAGTTTACCTGCAAAAGTGGAAAAACTAAAACAGTGTACTCTAAAACACCATATCCATTGTAAAACCTAATAAAAAATATTCCCCAAAAGACCAATTTAAAATGAGCATGGGTTGTGTACCGGCAGGGTGCACACTGGAGAAATCTGTTTCAGGAAACCGATTTCATGAAACGAGAAACTTTAGTTGCTCGCAACAGATGGATTAGTTTAACACAGTGCAGTGCACACTGCATTGCATGGAACTGTAATTTCATTTGTTTCTTGCAACTGGTTTACATGAAATCCAAAAAACAGATTTCGTATAGGCTTCAGTTTCACGTTTCTATTGGTTTTATTGATTTACCTCAGTGTATTATTATTTTTCCTCAGCACTCGAGGCTAACCTCCGGTTGGTGTCCTTCTATGTTATTATTGGGCTAAGTAATTCCACCAAACGTTCAAAAAGAGGCTTTGGCATTCTAAAAAATCAAAAAAATTTACAGGATCACTGCATAATTAACGAGCTACAATGTAAGTACTGTGTTGACCATCCCTAATCAACGGGTGAACCCAATACTTCCTTCTTTGAGTTTTCTTTAGCCACCACCATCATCATCATCCGAATTAATATCAAGAAACTGATGGTATCCCGTTTCTTCTGTGTGCATTTGTTAAAGAAATGGTTTCCTTGATTGAAACCAATTTGATGAAACCAGTTTCCTGAACCGCGTTTCTCCAGTGTGCACCCTCTGCTTAATCTAGTACTATACTAAAATTACATGAACAGTTCACACTTGATATATACCTATCTAATTTATTTCAATCATAAAATGTATAAACTTGATGGATTCCTCATTTTAGGCATATTTTACACAACACAGTATTTTTTATTATTACAGTATTTCTGTCTACTTGAACACAAAGACCTACCTCTTTAGTATACTCCATGATAATCCTCCCAACATCTGCATATCCTCCCGAGCTATTGAAAGACACTGCTCCCCCAGGCAAGACCACACCGTTGATGGCGTCAAGGATATGCCTGCAAGATTAGGTCATCAGTCGCCTTTTTGGATTTTGGTTGATTTTGTCATTTGCAAGCAAATTATCTTAAGTTATAAAGAAAAAATAATGTGATGCTGTTACTGCAACTTTTTTAGTGTATGGAAAGGTCGTCAGCTTTCAAAAAATGCATAATAATATTCATCTTCTTCTATTTTAAAACGTTTTTATTAGCTCGCTTTCTTGTCCGGTACAAATTTTGAAATCAATTTTATACTAACTTCCCGACGAGCTAGAGACTTGAAACTTGAAACATAGCTCACAAATGGAAGACAATGCAATATTATATAATTTAATTTTCATATTTCCCTTGGGCTACGCCCCAGGGGCTTGTTTTTACTAAAACGCTTTCTTGCAAATTTGTATACTTCCCGATGAGCTAGAGACTTGAAATTTGAAACATAGCTCATAAATGGATGACAATGCAATATTGTATCATTTAATTTTCATATTTCCCTTGGACTACGCCCCATGGGCTTGTTTTTATTAGCTCGCTTTCCTACAAATGTTGATATCAATTTTAAACAAAGTTCCCGATGAGCTAGAGACTTGAAACTTGAAACATAGCTCACAAATGGATGACAATGCAATAATATATCATTTAATTTTCATATTTCCCTTGAGCTACGCCCCTTTGGCTTCCAAATTTTCCATGTTTACATTTTAAAAGAATGTAAACATATAAATTAATTTAAGTCAGCTGTAAATACTTAAATTTGACAGTTAGAAGAGCAGAGGTTAAGAGGTACAGGTTCTGCTCCCAAGATATTCTAAAAATATAAAACAATCATTTCAAAGTAAAGATAAAACATCTGATTACAAATAATAAGGATTTTGGTTTTTGTTATGCATTAAGAGGTTATATAAAATAGATTTAACATATTTACACATTAAAGACTAAAAACTAGATAATAATTTATAAATAAAGTACTTTTTAAAATGCCACGTTTTTAAACGCACTAATAAGTATAAAATAATTTATAAAATGTTGGGAGAATAAATACTTGTAAGATTTAAAACGAAAAACGTGGGGCGCATGCTGATTTACAATTAACTTCACCTATTGAACTATTATGAACTATTGCATGCGCCCCACGATTTGCGTTTTAAATCTTACAAGTATTTATCCTCCCAACATTTTATAAATTATTTTATACTTATTAGTGCGTTTAAAAACGTGGCATTTTAAAAAGTATTTTTATTTATAAATTATTATTATAAAGCTAATAAGGATAACAAACTTTAGAGAAATCAGTGAGTAGGCTATAGTTTACTTGTTCCTTGAGTTATCTTTTAATTCTCAGAGGTTTGCATTACGATAAAGTAGTTGATTCATAAATTAACAATATATGAAGCAATATATTTTGATTCTGTAAAAAGGAATCTCGGCATAAGCTTATTGCTATATTTATTTATTGATTTATATTTATAGTTTTTGATATGCTCAACTCTTGAGGAGTAGCATACCTGTAGTAAGAAGCTGTTTTGTTTATAAATATGGGAACTGCCCTGGCTCCAGCTTGTTCCACTGCTTTCACATAAGACGCTGCGATCATGGAACGAGCATCAACTTGGGCTTTGGAGCTTACTTCCTCAGTGACGATCCCAATGATTGGACGCTCTGTGGCAAGAGAAAGTCCAAAATGGAGGATAACAGTTGAGAGAAACAGCATCTGAAAGAATTTTATGAAATAGAACACCAACTAGCAAAAATAAATCTAAACTTGGGAGTGAACAGGAGATAGAAACATCAACTGAAAGACATTATATATATATCGTCGGTCAATAGACATAAGGGCGTAACTGCAAAATGGCAACTTTTCAGGAGAACAGTTTTTTAGGTGGTTTCAGAACATGTGCTTACTTTTGGCGTTGTAATTGTAGATATAAGCCACCTAGGACAATGAAATTTTCACAGATGATACCAAAGGGTATGGGCATCAGTTTACACTAGTTAATATGTTGTTTTCATTATTAGTTTCCTAATTACATCAAGTCAAAGTAGATACGCCTGTATGTCTCTAAAAGAAAATTCAAATAACTAGTTACACTCAATAATTTTAAAGCTATAAACTGTCTTCATTTATTTGTAAAATTAACGTTGTTATTACATATTATGCACTAAATTGGTTAAAATTTAATGAATAAGAAAGACACTTGTACACAGTGAACAATCTTAATTAATCTATACTAATATATAAAAATCTAATGGAGTCTGTCTGTATGTGTGTTACTAATAGGTGCAAAAACTACTGAACCAACTGGGCTTAAATTTTACAAAAATATAGCTATTATCAAGGACCATTATAGGACTATTCACATTTCGATACTGACTGTAGGCTTTGCCCCTTTGTCTTTAAAAGTTCTGAGGTGAGGATTTTAAAAGTAAATATTGATTGGTTTCCATCACTGCGATTAGAACTCTAATAATGTTTGTTTGCATTGGCTTTGAAATATTTCAATGTAAACAAGAAGAACTGCTAAATTGCATATTTCACAATTTCAGACAGTAAAATATAATATTTTCTATAACTATGAGATAGGTTTATTTTAATCTACGGTAACGTTTTATCATGGATTATTTATTCTAAAACTGTCAATGATTATAAAAAAAGATTCTATAACCTTTATTGCTCTGCTTTGGATTTTTTAAAGCGTCTTAAGTTATGAAAATAATGCTATTGATATGCTTTCATAGAAACAGTTTGAAAATTACAATGTATAGATATTTTGTATGAATTTGGAGGCTACTTTAAATAAATTCGAGCTGCCTAACATGTGTTAGATTAACTTAACATAACTTGCACATCACATTGTTTTTTATATGTATATTTAGGTAAATTTAGTTATTATGTTTTGCTAAACATATGCTTAAATTAAACTAAAGAATATCATCAATAACTAAATTGTAGCCCACGTCATTGATTTTTTGTTTTAAAATCTGTTGTAATTGTGTAACTATATTTAATTATCAAATGGTAATAGAAACTACTCTTATTTTATCTTAACATAGCTTTCAGTTCACATTTACTTTATTTAATAAATTTATTATTGTGTTTTGCCACACCACTGATTAAATTAAACCAAGGAAAATATCATAAAACTAGCAGTAGTATACACAATGTTCTTTTGTTTCTAAAATCAATTCAATATCTGTAACTATGTTTACTTAATGTTAAGTGTGAAAATTTAAAGGCAATGGATGGAACTGATTAAAAGAACTGGTTTTTATATTAAGTTGTTTGTTGATATTTTTGTAGATTAGAATCAGATATGCAATGAAACATATAGGCCTACTGTATTTACTATTATATTTTTTAGTCATCAACGCTTTGATAATCATATTAGTTTTGTCTGCTGTCTTTAATGCTAAATTATGTGTTTAATTTTTTATAGTCTTGATAGGGCTATATCCTATAATATAGGATTTTTTGGAATTTTCTCCGTAACCATTAGGCGCATAATAACGCATTCATTATTATTATATTATAGTCTCTTTAATATTTCAAAAGACTGTATTGATAAGGCACAACAATATTTCTAAAGTTTATAACAGCTGAGTTAGTTTTGCTAATCTATTATATTATTAAAGTGATACAATCAAATTTTATGTAAACGGTTAAGGTCATTTACCAAATAAAAATATAGGCATATGGCATATCAAAATGAAGCTTAGAGTGTGTAGATTTGCTGAAAAGTATTGATATGGACGAACTCCCTAAGTGCTCTGCCCCACAGGCTGATTTCCAAAGGGCTACGCCTTGCATGTTTTGGAAGTTAACGTTATTCGATTAATTTAGTGAACAACAGCTGGCCAATGCAATTGAAAATGTAGTTTGTTTGTTTAAATTTTTGTTTACTTATTTTATTATTTACTTTTATGTTCTTAAAAGAGGTGCGGCGAATGGGCAGTGAAGCAATTCTAGCTGTTTGATACAAGTGAGTGATTAAAAGTGCTCGAACACGATAAATATGAGATTAACAGAACATGTAAGTTGTTCGTTCCAAGAGGTTGTCACTGATCTTTAACAGGTCGCCATTTCATTGACAAGTATTTAAGTTTCAAAGACGTCGTGAAGGAGAGCGGCGAGTTCAGGTACAACCGTACCCACCTCGGCCACCTTTGGACGTAATGTATGAAGGTTCCGCTGCTTTTAACATCCTTTCAGATGACAATTTCTCGAACTTGGGCCCTCTAAATTAGATATAAAGTCAAAGTTGGGTGGATTCTGTACACCCGTGAATTCGCGGGTCGAACCTCTTGTAATGATTTATTGTCAGTGAAGAAAGAAGAAACTAAAGATGGAAGGATTTGTGATTTAATATGAAGGAAAGTGAAATTTTTAAAAAATGTCCATTTAAATTTAATAATTAGTATTTTTGCAACTTCAACATTGAAATTTAAAATGTCAATTATAAATAAAAAGATATGTAATTTTGAGATATGAAGGTAAATCGTCTGTGAAAGTTTTATTCAAAGATTTGGTCAGTTTTTCTCATATGCCTACACAAGATTTAAATTTAATCAAAACCAAAATGGTGGTATCCACTACTTACCAGATTTAAAAGTCAACTTAAACGTTTCTATTAAGGCCATAAAAGTTGAATTTTGTTTCTAAAAGCGTTAGCGGATATGTAACTATTATATGCAAAAGGTGTAAAGATTAAATGTTTCTATTTTGTTACCACTTCCCGTTGCAAAGCACGGGTACAACAGCTAGTAAGCTTAATACATTATTATTAAAAGTTGATAGGCCTTTATGACTCTGCACCTAGTAGCTAAATACATTTAAAGTTAAGAGACATACGGTCGTAAGTGCAGTTCCGTCTGTATGTCTCTTGGAATGTAGGAAAAATGTCAGTTACGATGCTCATCTAACTTTTGAACGGCTTGAGATACAGTTGCGCCAGTCGGTCTATTGAATAGAGCGCATACAAATTAGTGGGGTGGTAGTCTTATCTCAAAATCGCAGATTTTCAAGTTACGCCCCTATGTCTATTGACCGACGATATATATATATACATATTTTGCTAAAAATAAAAATTGGCAAGACCAAAAAACATTGTTCAGTACAACTATTAACAATAGCCTGATCAGATAACCTGGTTTTTCTGGCTCACGAAGACTGAGACTGAATCACGAATGCATGTTCATGTTATATCTTATATTCAAAATCATCATCGCTACATGATTTTTTTACACATCCCTCAAAACTCTAGAGTCTATAGAGACTTATCCCAAATCTAACATCTGCCACCCTGGAACTTGCAGATATCATTGATTAGGGCTTCCCGCCCGAGGAATCGTCTGTCCCTTAGTCAACTATTGAAATAATAAGTCAGCTTTTACAGTGATTCTAGTTTTTTCAACCGATGAACGGATGTTTCGCAATGATCTTGCCCTGGAAACAGAATTTTTATGCATAGCCTATCATAGCGACCATTATTCTGTGTGTGGTTTCATCTTAGGACCTAACCAATAATTCCGTCCCTTTATCGTGTTCATGGTAATATGACCAAGAACTTGATTCTCCAATTTCTTGAAGATGCCACAAAATGTTTCAAGTCCTGTGAAGTGAAATCAACATAGGTACTTGTTGCCCAACTGATCTGGCATTACGTTACCATTAAGCCCAGAATGTTTGGAAACCTTAATACTTAATACTTTTCAATGAATACTTTAATACTTTTCAATGAAATGGTGACCATACAACGTAGGTATTTTAAGCCAAGTATGAATGGAGATGAGTGTAGGATGAGTGTAGGATGAGTGGCGCGATCTTGTAGTCTTGTTAGTACAGTAACGATAAGGCCGACTTTTCGACACAGCTGTTAATAGCCCATACAGCTAATGGCAACTAATGGACCTACAGTTTATAGTGGAATCCGAACCACATTTTTGCCTTTTGGTATATACGAATTGGTCTAATTTTCAGGATAGTACTGCGAATAGTTGTAGTACTCACTGGTGCGGACGTTAATCCACACCAGGGAGTATCGCATCCACAGTGCATGCCTATAAATAATGAGTTTAAGGCTAATATAAGTTATTAATACAAAATGTTAATATAAAATATACAATTGTATATTTATATTTACAAATTGTATAAAATATACAAAATATATAAAATATAAAATTGTTAATATAAAATATACAATGTTGAGGAGCAAGCTGGTCTAGTAAAGTACACTAAGTACAGTAGGAGAGTACTGGGGACTTTGGTGTCCGAGGTCCCGGGTTCAAATTTCACCAATCATGAAATGGATTTTATCCATATGATAGTGCCGCAACTCTAGGACTAGCCTGAAGTATATAATGTGTAAAACAGTCCTGGGCTAGAACTAGCGTAATAGGATGTAAAAGAGGAACATAAAAAAATGTTAAAAAACTATAAAAGAATATTGCTACAGCAATGCCAGCCTGCAACAATTAATTAAGGCAATGTACTGTCAATGTCAAAGCCAGTTTGGGAAGGTTGTTGTAACTTAATATGCATTGAAGGGGAGTCATACCTAGGTCCACCGCGGTCAATCTCCCCCGCGCTAGTTTCCGCAAGGTCTGCGGCCGGCGGAGCATGAGACCAACAATCCCTCCCACTTGCCTCTGAGTCGCACAGTTTGGTTTGGCCGACCTAACCAAACGGTGCGGCGGACAACTGGAGACTACTTCACTCGTAACTTCGCCTGCAAAATGTAGGATACTTTACCAAAACACTGCTGTATTGCGGGCTGACTAATGAGACCGTTTTCTGTAAAGTAGTAACTGTACAAATTACCGTACACTTGCTTGGCTACGAAAAATAATTATTCAATTTTATCTATTCCATGATTATTAATGGTTTGGAAATCCATACACCACTTTACTTACTAATATTAATGGTACAGATTAAGCACATAACATTAGAATGATAATTCACTTTAAACACAAATGCAAATTGTTAACGACAACATTTAATTAAAGACAAATCAATCAAATAACAATTAGCCGTTTAATTATTAACACAAAAGGTTTCGTATGATTAGATTATTCATACTGATAAACCACCTATGGCCATCTGTAATAATATTTGGGTTTTCTTTTCCGAGTCGGGTTAGCTCTTCTACTCGACCGATTTTCATAATTTTGGCCTCAAACTAAAGGTATGGACGCACTACAGATTTGCAATCAAGAATCGGCATTCATTTTTATTTACGTATATTTCGAGTTATGCACAAAATGTGTCCCTGTACATTTCTTATGGGAGTTAAATTAGTTTTTTTTTTAAGTTCGTTTGGCTCTTCTGCCCATCCCATTTTCTTCATTTTGGTCTTAAAATAAAGTTATGCAAGCAAATATTTGTGATCAAACATAATCATTATTTTTTCTAATGTATAACCCAACGAAAAAATTTATTTTTTTTTACTTCAATTAAAGATGTATTTCAGCAGCTCTAACTAAATTACCCTATATGTTTTGGTCTAAAAACCTTTAGTGAAATACCAGCTTTCATTTGAGCTATTAATTATTAAGATTCCGATCTTAATAATCGTACCTAAAGCACTGTTTTAATCAGTTAACTTCAAGATACTGTATCGCTCAATCAGAAAACATAAATTTGATTATATCTTGGATGTGGAATTTAGTTTGTGATATTTTTACTCAATTCAAATTACGTTATTCTATTTGTTTTGACCTAAGAACCATCAGTGAAATACCAGCTTCCATTTGATTTATTGATTATTAAGATCGGACGTACCTAAAGGACACAGCTAAATCACGAACAACACAAATTGTTCAAAAAATAGAGTTATTTATCATCGATTTATAGTCAAACGATCTTGCTTGCAACCTCAACAGTAACTGTCGACTTTGACGGGTTTCATCTAGTCAATCTTTAAAAAATCTAACTTTCATAATTATTTGCCAATCTACACAAATTAGGCTTACCAATGACCTATTAATTAATAAAATCGGTTCAGTAGAACTGTAGATTTAATTGTACAAAGTTTAACAACAACATCTTTCATTCAGTATTTTCTCATCACTATAAATTGGGAGGTTGCTTAACGTTTTTGAAAATAGAGTAACTTTTAAATGGTGAGGAAATCGACCAAAGTGGACGGTGATATTCTTGATAGAGAATAAAATTTCCTACAAATTACTATCATGTATTTCCTGAAAATACTCAATAAAGAAAGACAGTCTAAAGTTGGCTACAAATATAAACTTAGAAAAAGGCGTTTTAAATGTATTATTGTTTATTTTCATTTTTTCCCCTCAAAAAGTAATAAAATCACACTTTCATAACTATTTGCAAATCTACACGAATTAGGCTTTCCAACGATTAAGTAACAAAATCGGTCCGGCAGGAATTTTAAATTTTATGACTTTTACATAGATTTGTTTTTCTAACAAAATATATGGATGAAGTATAATTTAAAACATGCTATGTAAACTAATGGTATGTTTCGGGAATAAATAGTTTTATTTTAAAACGAGCTGTTGGCCCATCCTACTTACGGGAATCGAGCAGTCCATTAAAATTGTATATAGTTATATCAATATGTCTATTCCTAATTCAAGCATAGTTTAAGCAGTTCAAAGTTTAATGTAAAGAAAAAGCTACCAAGATTAATTAAAACTTCTGGTTGCTGTTACTTTCCCAACCTGTCCTCAAAAATTCGGGTGGTAAAACAATTTTCATAAGCTTTCTTTTGAAGTCTCGTGAGCTTCGATTCGTATAAAGCAATGGTTAAAGAATCTTACTTAATTTCTATAATCAATGACAAAATCACAGAGTAAATAAACTAACCTCATGGTTCTTAGAATATTTGTATATTCAACCAGCTGTTAGTTGTAACAAATTATATTGCACTAAAACAAACTAAAGATTTTATAGACTGTTGAAAAAATAAATTAGAACATCTATTATTTTAATTTTACTTTGTATATTTAAATTATCTCTCGTCCTCTAACCGAATAAATAAACGTATCAATTATTAAAGCATTGCACATAGTATAGAAAGTCAACCCTACGTATGTCATTTCATTTTCATCCAAATGCTGAATTTGTGTCGAAAACGCTGATTGTTTACAGCTGTTACGTTAAGCAAATTGTATTATACCAAAACCTAGAGTTAGCGTCGGCTGCTGGACTTTTTAAAATTTTAAACTTAACTAAAAAAAACTGAAACCCTAAACTAAAATTGTGGCTTCGACATTCCCTAGTTCCCAAAATTATCTTTCTTTCAACGCAAAAATGATGAAAATCCGTCAAGTGGTTGATTCAGAATCGTGGTTGAAATAAAAAAACCTGTTACGTTTTAATATATAAGATAACGTACACATTTTTGTAATATTTCTGGAATTAGTTTGGGTTTTTATTACTCGATACTTAAATTATATAAATAACCAAAGGCAAGACAACGTCTGCCGGCTTCAGCTAGTTTTTTGATAATCCTATCTCCTCTCTGGCATTATTTAATTCGAAAATGATTACATTGCATTATAAAGTGATTTCATACGTTGTAGGCCCACTTATCATGTCTTACAGTATGCCCCTTCAATCACGGTTAAAAGATTAAATACACCTATAAAGAGTTATTAAATTGTGAGTGAAAATAGAATGATGAGTATTTGTTATTTAATTAGAAGAAGATTTACCTAAAAATGGGGCCCATTGGCTTCCTTATGGGGCAAGAATAAGTGACCCAATGTCCCCAGTGTCAATAAGCAAACTTTTTTTAATTAAAAGAAAACTGCTTTTCGTGGTGGGCCCTCCATAATAGTAGGCTATTTTTAGGACGCATTCATCCCTTAGCCACCTTCCTAAGATAAATAGATTATTACATATGAGATTATGAATTTCAAAATGGAAAAGAGTGTTTCTTCAGCGTGTAGATTCTTAATATAATAATAATACGACATATTATAATAACGAATAATATGACAGATTAAAGTGTTTTCCGTACGTAAATGTGAGTGAGTGTATGTATAATTGAAATAACATAAATTATGGAAGCAGCCAGATTGGGTAAAATAAAATATGTAAAAACAACAATTCATTTAATTTAAATAACAACCCCTAATTATTCGGTCCACAATGGAATGACATGCCGGGCACGTTATCGGTACTCTTGAGTACCATCTCCATTAATAGAGAATAACTGTTGAGAGACAAATGCCCTCAAACACCAAACAACTACTACAAAACACGGTGTGGCCACAGGGGGTGCAAAGCCTCGTGGGCTGCATAACACCGCAGAAGCGGAGCGGCGCGGCGGTTCGATGACCAGAGGGTCCAGTTTTGCGAGCAAGAGAACAAAGAGTTTACGTTCCTTGAAACCCAAACAAAGACTGTTGTGTTGGGGTGCGAGCTTTCTCTCGGCGGCAGGTAGCTACAGCCGCGACAAGGGTCGCTGCAGTTGTAGCTAAATAATATCATCGACGCATTGACGGTGGTGGATAGATATTGATAAAATAAAAATGAATTATAATAATTATCATAGTTCAATGTCCTAATTAAGAGCTTAATTTTTACGCAAAAACCTTATATCAGACAAATGTGCTTTATGGACAGATTTCACGTTTAAGTCCCTACCACGTGCAACACTTGGTTTTTTAGCAAATTTCCCTATAGGAAATCAATAGTTTCTTAGCAATCGTATTGACTGTTTACAATTAACATATGTTATTCTTCTCACTTCTAGTTTCTGCCAACAGTGGTTGAAATTTCATAACAGTGTTTGTTTCCCATGTTAATCTTATGGAGAAATACGAAACTTACAAGGACCTCTGGGCCTCGCTCTCTAATTATTTCCCTAAGCAGAAAGTTTCCTGCACAACTTCACGTTAAGCTCTTTCCAATGATACCAAAAACATGCCAATCGGTTCAGTAGTTTCGGAGGAGTAATTGTCACAAAAAACCTGCTTGCGTATTAAATAAGTTATAGAAGATATACTGTTATAGTGTCCCTGTTGCTGTTTTCTTTTTAGTATATCAATTCATCCAGGCTCTCTCCCTTTTTTCTATTGTAATATTTGCACCAACCCAAATTCAAATCTTTATAATTAATACGCTACATGAAACTTTGTCGGTTGAACTCCTCCGCCATTTCTTAACCGATTTTATCCATTGACGTCTCATTGGAAAGAGCGTGTCGAGTAGATTTGCAAACTGGCCTTACATTTATGAAAAAGTCCCTTAAGCTCTGCCCCAGTGGCTTTAAAGGTTCCCATGTTTTCCTTATGAAGAACATAATTGTTTACATTTTGATCAGCTGTATAATTTAATTGCTGTTATTTATCTTTCGTTCATTTATAAAATAAATGTACTACCATAGATAAAACATACTCCCTTACTTGTGTTGGTTAGTCTATGGTACTACAGACTTCTCATCCCATTGTAAATTTTGAAGCACGTTTTTCGTGTCTAGTTCATGTACGTGACACAAAGGCGCAGTGTCGATGAAACTTTGTTTCAATTATTTTAGGGTTAATTTCTTGATTTCTGCTTTACTGTTTGGTTATATAACTAGGGGACAAGTTATTGTTTATGATTAGATCGTATTATTTGGTTAAACGAGGTTTTAAATGGCTGTAATAACGGGAAACAAATTGTAAACAAAACACGACTTCGTATGTTTTATCTATGGTACTACTTTAATTTACAATTTAAATAATCGAGAAAGCCTTGGCAATTTGA